ATATATATATATATATTAATACTTAAAATGTTTTTGTTGCTACTCCGAGTTTCATGCCGTAAAGGCAATCATCAGGCAACAGTTTTTGCTTCTCCAAAGCAAGTGCTTGTTGAAGCAAAAACTGTTGCCTGATGATTGCCTTTACGGCATGAAACTCGGAGTAGCAACAAAAACATTTTAAGTATTAATAAATCGCTCTATTTTGTAATATGGAGCATTCTTCACCACATATATATACGTTCAAAGAAACTGAATTATTATATATATATATATATATATATATATATATATATATATATATATATATATATATATATATATATATATATATATATATATATATATATATATATATATATATATATATTGGTTGTCTAGATATATAAAGTGCTCAATATACTAAAAGTATAGCAGAGCTTATTAGATTGTCTATATCTTAAAATTAAATATCGCTACTCTGAGTTTCACGTCCTTTTCTAGACGATCATCAGGCGATTTACGCCTATATATATATATATATATATATATATATATATATATATATATATATATATATATATATATATATATATATATATATATATATATATATATATATATATATACGAAAACTATTGAAATCACCAATAACAATTTAATTGTTAGAATTTGAATGCCTAAGCACTCTGTTGGTTTCCACGAGTGCATAAATGATTGACATAAGTAAATTTTATTCCCAAGAGCAGAAAATTGCGCACTTTACAAGGAGATGTTCTTAAACTAAATTTTAATACATGCACCTTATCAATATTTTACGCATCATTACGTTCAGCTTTTTGGTAGGGCATTCAATTTTAACAATCAAAGTGATTTCAATAGTTTTCGGATTTTTTGGACACCCTGTATATATATGTGTGTGCGTGTTTCCCAGGGTCTTAGCCAGGATTTGCAACTTGGGTGTCCAAATTTGAAATTTCGTTTATGTCGACACCCACTTTTTCCCATATGGAACCATGGCACCACTTCATGCACCAGTAATTCAATGTGATTATTCCCGAATGCTGGGAGTAATCGGTGACCGCACTTGAGAATCGCCCAAAAACTATAATAATATATTCAATTATTCAGACTACAGATTCATTACACCGACTACTGTAGTACAATAGTACTGTAGTACATGCGATTCTGCATGCTAAACACCCTTTCTGCTTCTTCATTTCCAACCATTACACACAAGCAAGTTGCCATATACATGTACTCCGTTACTGTACTTGAGTACTATTTTTGAGAAGTTAGCATGTAACAAAGTAAACTTTTTCTGGAGTACTATTACTTGGAACAAAGTCGTTTTAATAAGTAACGCTTTACTTCGTTATTTTCATTTTATGGCGAAGTATTTCGTTAGTTTCTCACGTTTAATTTTACGTGATTTATTCCTGATTTATTTTAATTTTGGGATAGGTAATAGGACCTCTACATGCGTCTGAGATCCCTCGTTTGTGGCTTACTTAACTTCAGCGGGGTCTGGAAAGTAGACCATGCCATGAAATATTGTATATTATCGTGCACGCATATAATGCGTATGCTGTTTTGTGTCTTTTAATAATTTTGTAATCCATTGGAGAAGTCCCTACACGCTATAGACAATAGTACTTTTTACTTTTACTTTGTACTTCAAGTATTTTTTAAGGATACTTTGTACTTTTTACTTAAGTACGTTTTGCCTCCAGTACTTTTTACTCTTACTCAAGTCGTTTTATTGTTAATACTTCTACTTTTACTCGAGTACATATTCAAAGTAATTTAGGCACCACTGCATGCGCATAGATATACAGTAGTTGAAAACTAGGCGAGTCTATTTCCTGAAAGGTCAATAAAATTTGCGTAGGTGTCACTAGCGGCGCATGCTTACTCGGATTACAAAATTACATATTACTAGCCGTTTCTACTCAGCGAAAGAAACGCAAATACATAAATTAACATAATATTTTATTGTAAGGTACTCTACAGCTTTTATTACCTAGCCGTCCAAAAGGTGTCACCAAGATAGCGAACCGTCCAAAAGCCGTCTTTTTTATAAGGCCGTCCAAATTTGAAAACGGCCGTCCAAAAGACAGCTGGACGGTAGGCTGGCTAAGACCGTGGTGTTTCCTGACCCATAGCTTACTTCTAGACGAATTAGGGCCTTCGCTCGATACGTCACAGTTTGTTCTCTTCTTCAGGTAGTTACATTCTAAAGCCTGGTTTCCATATGACGCCGACTCATTATCGGCAATCATTGAAGGAGATTTCATCACAAAGGATTTTACTCATGAGTAATCACCGACAATGCATTGCCAATGGAACTCGCCGACTGCAGATCCGCGTCATATGGAAACGTGCGTGCTTTAGTGCATGTATGCAAGCGGCTCGTTTGACGTCATCTGTCCTCTATCATGTCTGTCCAGTTGGGAAAGATCCGTTCAATTTGGTTCACGTTTTTTTATTTTCCCCGAACTACCAAAAGAAAAATCCATAAAGCAGTAAATAAAAAGGTCTGCATGACTAAACCGTAATCCCAACCCTAATTCAAACCTTATTCAAACCCTTTTCCTTGTGACTTATCTCTGGATATAGTATACTGTATAATATGGAAAAATACTCAAAATTGGACTAAATTTAAGTGTGATTCCATGCATAACAAATATATTTAACGGCTGTTGGCAGTTTATTGTTAATGTGCGGAAAATTCGTTGTAAAATCTATGCCGTTAATCAATAGACCTTTCCCCTTTTAAGTGAAATTTTGATCTAGACAAGTCTGGACAAAACTTTCATCACAGCTTGAAAGAGCATCACAAAATTAGTAATATTCCGAAGTTTCGTTGCGAAATGTTGTAAAATGCGGATAATAGCCTATAGCCGTGCGAAGTTTGCCGTTTTTCAGTCACATTTTGCATTACAAACGGGAAATTGATAATCAGATGATCAAACTGATTATCAATTTCCGTTTGTAATGCAAAATGACTGAAAAACGGCAAATTCGCAATGCTATATTGGCCTATATTATCCGCATTTTACAACATTTCGCAACGAAACTTCGGAATATTACTAATTTTGTGATGCTCTTTCAAGCTGTGATGAAATTTTTGTCCAGACTTGTCTAGATCAAAATTTCACTTAAAAGGGGAAATGTCTATTGACCTCTATTAAACATCGTTGAGACTAGAAGCGCTATGATGTAGACATAACGAATGCCATGAATTTCAACTGTATAATTGCAAAGTGTAGCCAACGCGTCGATGATAAACCGTGTCTCCTATGACTATGTGGCCGCGTGGGCTGCATAATAAAAAAATGGCCAAATAAAAAAAAACTTGGTTAGCGTCACCGCCCTCCTCTCGATTTCTGACGCCTCTGATTTTTTTTTTATTTTGTTTTATGTATAAATCTCTTCGTTTTACAGCTTAACTCATGCAGTTTAATTAATATTTGAAATTTTTCTCATGCTCAGACCTTCGCGCTATGTATTACAAGGTTCTTATATCAAAATGGCGGCCTTCGCGACATCAGTACAAAAAATATCACCGATATGGTGGAAAAACCGCCCTGGCGCCGTTCAGTATTAAAATTGAAGTAATACTGAAGCCTCATGGACATGGTGTAAGGTACCACAAAGTGCAAACTTGATATTGGAACTACATTGACTTATATGTAATTTACCTTCTAAACGACAAACCTTCAGTGTCAAAAATCAAAACTGACTATAACTGACTGAATAATCGAATTAAGTCCTTTAATTTCATAAAGCTAGTGACTCTATAGAATGCAAAATGTCACCGAAGCAAGGCCAAGACGACTTTGACGTTAACAGCGGGAAATTTGACTTATTTAATTAACTTTAAACCGTTTTTGTGCAAATTCAGTGACAGTGTTTAACCGCTGCATGCTGTTCACAGTTCACAGTTGACAGTGACACGGAGTTCGTTGCTGCAGTACAAGAGTTCGTTAGGCATGTCAAATCTACCTTAAAAGCGAGGTATAAACATCGTCACGAGACTGTCAGAGCTAAGTCTATATGACTATAACGAATGCCATGAATCTTCCTTGTCCTTGATTATACCCAACAGATCGCCATGTCACATGTGCTCGTCACAGACAAATAAAGAATAAAGTAGCTAGTGATAGGTGTTACGGTTAGCTTTTTGGTTTAATTGATGATCCCCTTATTACGTTTTCGTAGCGCTTTGCATTGTGGTTATAGTGGTATCACTGATAAAGATAGCGGCCTCGAATGAAAATATTGAATGTTTTCGCGAAATTTTGCTCTTGTCTATCGCTCACTTGACCCTAGCTTTTTTTAAAAGTTCTTGCACGGGTCAGGACAAAAAATAAGCCATCTTGATTGACGTTTACGGAAGACCGCTAACTGCAAACGATAGACTTCAAATCGTATTTTGAGGTCAACTGTTGGGATTAATTGTTATGGCTGCATGTTCGAAGACAGTTATGATAAATTGTGCATCAAAGTTGAAGCATGACTCAGCTGTCGAAAACATGTAAAATTTACCTCCAAATGCGATTTGAAGTTTGGCGGTTAGCGGTCTGCCGTTAATGTGCAAATTATTTGCAAATATATTTAACAGCAGTACGTTGGCAGTGAGTTCATTGTTAAAGAGTTCGTTATAAGGTCGATCGTTAAAAGAAATTAACATCGTTGACTGACAGAGACTGTCAGTGCTATATGACTGTGTACAGCACATTGAAACGAACAGTGTTCCTGTGCGTGAAGTATTATAAATAGCAGAAATCAACAGTTTGCCTCAATTCATCAGTTCTGCCTTGAAGTAACCACCTCCGCTTAAAGCTAGCTGAATAAAGGTCAGTAAAGGAAAAAAGTTTGAAAAAGTTCAAGTCTTACTTCATTAAGGTAAGAATAATTATCGGTGTAATTCTTGGTAAGGATGAATATTACAATGAAAAATTTTGTGTCATACGTGTATTAAACATTCTTGCACATGCAGCAACTTCAAACTCTTATAATAGCTTTGTTATGCTCCATGCTAATTTCATACTATAGACAGTACAAACGTACTCCTTTAGATTTATGCTCATCAGTGACGATCTTCTTCTTCAGACACTCTAACCAAGCCACAATGACATAACCCTAGCTTGAGACCATTCCAGGCTCCAGCAACTTTGTCTCTAATTATTTATTATATAATACCTTATTAAATTCTAATCATTTAATTGGCTGTTTATGGTCACGTGATATCGAATAGAAAATTCCATTTCCCAAGAGTGCAATGGAACACGTTCCATTGCACTCTCCGCGAGTGCAATGGAATAAAACGTATAGTACAATTGCACTCTTTGTGTTTTCGATAAATCGCATCCCTCAAAATGCTTCTCATACGAATCTATTAGTCTATTTTGGTATTATATAAAACAAATAATGAATGTTTCTTCGTGCAATGGTAAGAATATTTTCATTCGGTGAAAGATGGAATGTTCCATTCAACTCGGCTGTCGCCTCGTTGAATGGAACATTCCATCTTTCACCTCATGAAAATATTCTTACCATTGCACTCATAAACATTCATTATTTGTATAACATTTAAGACATCAAGGATTTGTGTTCAGAAAATTGAAACCCCAGTTCCATGTAAAATCATGTCGTACTTAATTCTTCCTCGCTCCCCCAAATGGCAAATTATCAAAACTACAAAAGTTGTTTTGGCCTTTCGGGGTTGTTTACAACATTGAACTGAGAGCAGGGGCGAAATTAGCCCCTTTTAATTCGGGGTCTGCCAGAATTGCCCTGCCAAAACTGATGATGCCCTGCAGCAAATTTTTATTTTTGGCCACTATTTTTCCCAAAAATGTTGAAAAATCTTTTCCGGACATTAAAAAAAAGGGTCAAAAAATTTTTCCGTACATAAACCAGTTAAATTAAGGGTCAAAAAATTTTTCCGTACAAATTCCTGTTAAAACATGGGTGAAACCCTGGCAGTTGGACCAATATCTGTAAAATTTAGGTCTATAAATTCTATTCAATTCCCTCTGAAAGCCCTGTATAAGTTACTTCATAACTCTACATTCTATCATTGCCCTGCCGATCCAGATGATTCGTTTTTTTTAGGGGAGTATCACCCCCCCCCCCCATATGCCCCTCAAGTTTCGCCCCTGACTGAGGGAGAAGGGGTGACGTAATTCGATATTTTTTCACCTGAATTTAATTTCAACCAAGTCGAATACTTCAAGACTATCAGTTATAGAAAATATAAATATAATATATACCATATTGTCTTTGAGAAATTAAATCTTAAAAATCCTGGTGTTTCTGCTATATTTCACCAAAGGCTAAGACTTAAAAACAGTCTCTGTTTATTTAGCCTGGTAATCAGCGTGTTTAAAATATAAAGTAATGCAAAATTGTGGCGACTATAGTTTTCAAATCCAGGTCAATGGACAATGAAAATGATGTTGTAACTGTAACTCAGTAACTCTGAACATCTATTTTCTTCGAGTTTAAGTGCAACCCTATACTTTGCCAGCTTCTTGTTCAAATTTCAATCTATACCCTTCGTGTAAAGTAGTTCTTAATTCTTATGCTTCTTCGATTACACAGAGTACAGTAGAGCCAGGTTTGGCTTGCTTTAAGGGGCGGACCATTTGATTTTTGAGGGGGGGTTGGAAGATTTCGAAAAAAAATTTCCTGCAATCCAAGGCGGAAAAAAATCATACAGCATATAATCGAGAAAAAAAATCATGCAAAAGAGAGCGCTCAAAAAAAAATTCCTACATGTAAATCTACTGACGTTCTTCACTTCAGTATTGTGTCCACAGGCTTTATGCACGATTTTGCATTTTTGAGCAGGCACATTTGCTTAAAAGAACACGGGGTGAACAGACAGAACAGTGGACAATATCACAGGGATTCTACCGCCTTTGGAGCCCATAACATACGATAGCCAGTGGCGTTCCCTGGCAAAATTGTTGCCCACCCTGAGAAAATCTGGGCTTAAGATGTGTACAATTAATTAAGGTGGCTCCCTACAGTTAGTACAGTTTAAATACGATTTATATAGATCAGACTTCATCCTCGCGACCTGCGCGTGGAATCGTGTTTACTGTTGAAACAAGCCGTGGGAAGTTTTTTGGCGTTTTTATCTACAAAGAAAGCCCCAGTTTTTCATTATAATCCTAATTTTTTCTGAATTCGAACAGTACGTATGTTATTAACTAGTTTAACCTATCTTTTAGTGTGTTTTTACGTATTTACGTTCAGTATTGTCTTTCATATTGCTCAAAATTTTCAACTTGTTGTTTTGCGAGCTGTCAAACTGAAATGATACTGTCTTCTATTAACTCTTGAACAGTAGTGAACTGTTCCCGAAACTTATATAAGTTCTGTCAATCAATTCAATTTACAGGTATCGTTTTATCTGCTAAATCAAATAAAACAGTTATGAGTTGTTTTATATGAAAAGTTGAACTTGTAGTTCGATGTTTTGGAAAGTTTTCACACCGATTTTAACAACAAAAACAAATGTAAACTAACACTGGATTTAATACAATGCCTATAATAGTGTTTTTTATTGGTATTTTCAAGATTAATATTTTATTTTCATGTCAAACAAGTCAGAAATGTCTGTTTTCGTATGTATTGTAAGCCAAAAAGTTGAAATCACTATAAATCACACGCTACAATTTACACGCATGCGCAGATCGTGCTCATGTCGAGTCGATTTTTTTTCATGCTGGCCACGCCGATTTTAGCGTTGATTTTCTCGTGTTTTCTTCGGTGAAATTTTTTTAAACTTTGTATTTTTGTTATACAAGACGAGTGGTACAACATATCCAAATTTTAAGAAATTCTACAAATAACGTTTTCTGTAACCGTCATTCACGAATATCTCGAAAACTTATTTGTAAATTCCCTCCATTTTGATATGTTTTTCCTTTATGGACCATAAATCTTCAAAAAAAATTTCAGAAAAATTCACCGAAGGAAAATATAGATATTGTCAATTTATTGTGAAATTAAACAATAAAAGTGCAAAAGATTAAACGTCATGGTTGCCATGGCAACACAAACACTGTTTTAATTTGTTCATAAATGAACAGCACACAGCTTCTGAACTTTCCTGGAAATGATCATATTGCCTTGTCTTAAGTGTATCTAATATAAATTCGGTTCAAAGCGAACGATACTCAAAATACCTAGAATTTTAGAGAACTGTAGGGAGTCACCTTAAGTTTATAAGTTATTTATAAATATCTAATATGCATGGTAGAAAAAGTATTTTTGGATGGTTGAGTCTGTGTGCGTTTTTTGACAACATAGCTCCAAACTATTAAAGCTTCAAAGGCCCATCTACAGGATGCAAGTTGAACGTACTGTATATACGATGATTTTAATGCGCAAATGCCAGTTTAGAGTCTCGATTTTAAAAAATTTCTGAAGAGGATGCAACCCGATCCCCAACAAGCTATCTGTATGAACGATTGAAAAGCTACAGAGCTATATTTGCTGGAACATTGTTGTTTCGGAGGGCAGTTAAAAATCGCATTATTGAAATCTTGTTTTATTACATATTAATCAAAGCTCATTTTGTGATTTTCCCTTGTTTAAAATAAAGGACAGTAAGTGTTCCTTAGGCTTAGTACAGCAAAGTTGTTGGACGAATCCATGACTGAAAAATATTCGAGTCCATGACTGATAAATATTAAATAAAATTTTAAAATTTTCGAGTACTCTACTCTATCCCTGCATGTTTTAGGTTTTGGTGCAGTTATACATTTTTTTAAGTAAACCTGCACGCTTTAGTGTGGGGAACATTAAGACATAACCATATAAAATAAAGCACAGTGAAAATTCCTTGGCCCCTCTTGGAATTCAGTTCTCGGCCTCCTCTGACTGAAAACCCCGGCTACGTCTCTGACGATAGCCAGGGGCGCCGGACCCACAGGGGCAGCGGGGGCAACTGCCCCCGTTGCCCAAATATTGTGGGGGCAGCACGGGGGCAACAGGTTGCCCTTTTTGCCAGAATTGCAGCTCCAAATTTTTGCATTATTCAAAGGAATTTGAATTTAGAACTATTTTTAAGCAATGTTTAAAGATGCGGTACAGTCCGTATGTAAACAAATATGATTTCTGCGCATACTACGATTTATGCGCATACTATGATTTATGCATATATAGAGATTACTTCATAGTTGATGAGCGCGTACGATTTTTATGCACGAGTTGCGAAAAATTCCTATAAACGAACGAGTGAGCGCAGCGAACGAGTGAGTTTATAGGAATTTTTTGCAACGAGTGCATAATAAAAATCGTACAAGCGAATCAACCATGAAGTAATTTGTTTATTATATGAGTTATTATATATTAGAGTGAAATTTAAGTGCTGAACGATAGACACAATTCAAACCAAACGTTTCAAACATATATAACATGCATCAAAAAGTACAACAATAGCTACAACAAATGAATTATTTCGCTTTAAAATTCTTGTATTATTATTCTCCTGTTGTTCAATGAATTCGCTTACGGATGGTGTCTCTGCGAAGCGTGAAGCCATTTCAAATCAAAAGTCGAACGGACATATATCTAAAAAAACTGATTGTTGTTTTCTTGTACGCCAGTGGCGCGGCGGGAAAAGTAAATACGAAATTTTTCACTAGTGACAAATTCCGTACGTCCAATGAGAAGGCAAATACAACGTTCTTCAATAGTGGCGAATGTCGTATGTCCAATGAGATCCTCAGACATTTTAGGCATATGGTTTTTATTCGACAACTTTATCGCGTATAAAATTCAATACTCATATAATAAACTATAACATGTTAGTTTGCGCAATATAAATATTAAATATTATTATTATTATTACAAAGGCTTTGTTTACATTTCGGTATCCAAAATATAGTATTTTATTCGACAACTATTTATATTTTCATGATTCTAGAGTATAATAAATTATCCAGACACAACAATCAAGCTTTGCAAGAAGATAAAATGAAATAAAAACCTAAATAAACTGTTTGTATCTCGGTTTGTATAATAAAAAGAGGGCTCCTTTGTGCACATACGCAGATCGGACTGTACAGCATCTTTAAGCAATCTTTGCTTAATTTTTAACCAGTTGTAGTAAAATTAATGCTAAATCAAGCAATTTACGTCCGTTTACTGATTTTATTTTGCGCCTTTAAACCAGGGATGCCGGAAGTTGCTGAGGGCAAAGGGTGCGATTTGCTATCAAACGGGCATATTTCTTAAAAAATGTCAGAAACAAAAGTGAAAGGGCACTTGCCTACTTCTAACCTAATTTAAAATCAAACACAAGCAATATTTAAAAGCAAGCTTTTATTAATTTCAAACATTAAAATAAGGCACACAAAATTAGCAGAACAGTTTCGCTATCTCTTCTACGGAAGAAAGTATAGGTTATGAAACTAAATCGTTCATTTTTTGTAATATAAACTTAGTAATAAACTTAGTAAACACCTCCGGAGTAACCTTTTCTTTGTGAGGATTTCGATATAAACTGTTTTTCTGCTTATTTGCTAACCGCAGGGGCCCTCATCGGCCAAGTCCTATCGACCAAAAAATAGGGAACGTACGTAAAAATGCAGGTTAAGAGTCAATGGGGAAATGAAAAATTAATAATGATAAACAATAAAGCCTCCATCGAAGACATTAACTGATTTTTTATTCCATCTCAAATAAAACAAAAGTCATTCGTATTAGTTGTTACATGTGTTGGAGACTGTTAATATTATAGTGATGGAATTTTCCAGAGCATGCTATAATATTCAATATAATAAAAAAATATCTCAGTCAAACAATGACAACAGTCACCAGGGTCTCCACACCAAATATGCCTAAGGGACCCCTCTTCCTCCGTTACACACTGCTGTTTGTGTGAAATGATTTAATTAAATCTATTCGTTTTAAGTCTTTTGTGCACACGTTGTACCCATAATCTGCACCCGCACTGTACCCATAATCTGCACCCAAAAAGTTATGAATGCAAAAAGCATGGGGTGCACTTGCACCCGTGTTTCCGGCATCCCTGGGTGCAACGAATAAAATTGTTCAAATTAATGTCGAAGTTTGCGACCCATAATAGCCAGAAGTAATTGAGTGTCCATACGGTAAAGTTTTAACAAATATTGCTGCCCAGAAAAATGATGGCTGAGAAGCAAGTGCCCTTTTGAAATGGCTGCCCCCGCCGCTTCACATTGCTTCCGGCGCCCCTGACGATAGCTATATGAAAGTCTTAAGTTACTGTAAGCCATTATTATGAGAGGCAAAAAAAAAATCCTGCCGCGAAATATATTGGGAAAAAAATATCTTGTTACAGAAAAAAATATCTGTCTTGTTCCCCTGGGTGGAAACAAATTCTTGCACAGTCTGAATCTTCCAACCCCTCAAAATTCAAATGGTCCGCCCCTAAATAAAGAATATTTATGTTTTAGATTACATACACCAAGAATCAACAATGTCAATGCGTACGCTATTTCTGTTTTCCGTTGTGTTCTCAATCACTTTCGTGACAATCCAAAGTCTTAGCTGTATGCCATGCGGAAAGTGGCCATGTCGTCCTGAAAACAAGCTAAACTGCACAGGAGGTTTAACTTTGGGTATCTGTGGATGTTGTAATGTATGTGCAAAGGTCGAGGGTGAGGAATGTGGGGGAATGTGGGATTTGCTTGGCACGTGTGATGATGGTCTGACGTGCGTTCCTGAGCAAGCGTCAGAAGACGATTTAGACGATTCAGACTCTTATTATTTCAACGACCTGCCGGGTAAATGTGTGGCTGATAATGTTGCGATATAAGGTAATGGACCAGAGCTCAAACGTAGTTTTAAGCTAAGGAACAGTGGACCTAATTGACTAATGTGTTGCCCATTGCAACCCCATTGCTTGAATTTTATGCTCGGTTACCTAATTTGTCCATGAATTAGGAGATGGGATCTTTAAAGGTGGTCTGAGGGGCTTGTATTTTTGAGCCTCTTAATTAGTGAGGTGGATAAGTGAAACGATATATATTGTACATTTTGTGAAGAAAGCACCATATTGAAAGGATGTGTAGACTTTGACACAAGTATGAATATCAGACTTGGAGGCATCTGTGAAGACTGTGAAATTAACGCTAAAAGCCTAAAGCCCTGGGCAAACTAGAAAACATTGTTGTGGAAACATTTATGATTCGCGATGTTTCCTCAAAAGTTTCTCTGTTTGCCCACCCGTGGAAACATTGTTGCGGAAACAAAATTTGCTTCCCGAGAAGCAATGTTTCCTAGCAAATTCAGAAACATTTGATGTTTCCCTATGTTTCTCACTAATGTTTCCTAGTGTTTGCCCACTCTGGGAAACATGGTGCAACATTGTCATTGGCAGGAAACAATGTTTCCGCAAGGATGTTTCCTAGTTTGCCCAGGGCTTTAAAATAGCCAAAAATTTGGAATTTCTGACATTTTATTATAAACTTCCGTTACTGCTCGAAATCTTAAAATTCTAAAGTACTTCGCAAAAAAATGAGTTCTATGGCTGAAAAGTAAACAACAAAATGTTTATGGAACATTAAAGCAGTTTTTTGATTCCCCAAATATTTCCTGAGTTGCAACCTGTTAAAAAAGGCGATTTGAAGCTAGTGCCAGTCTTTGCACCAATTTTTATATCAATTTTGTGCGATTCGAAACTGGTTAGTCTCCCTCGCAGCCTGTTCGCGGGTGCGAGGGAGACTAGAAACTGGTTAACTTAAAAACGACTTGGCAAAATAAAAAAAACTGCGTTTATTAATAGTATTCTATAGATAGTTTTTTGTGTACGTTTCAATTACCATGTAACTTATTTTTTCAGATGCCTTCATATCTGATATTCATACTTTTGTCAAAGCCTACACACATTGTCAATATGATGGTTCCCTCACTAACTGCACAATTATTACGAAATTGTGTGCTTATAAATCCGCCCTACTATCTCGAGCTTGATTTTCCGCATGTTAGACACAATTTTTGATATACCTCATCCGCCAGACAAAGCTTTGATCAAGGGAATACTGAAACGTACACTCTTCTTAAAAAGTTATTCTTCACCTTTGCTCATATTTAGAAAGAAGGAACCTTCATTTGGGGAGGGGGGGCTGGGCAAACATTTATCACTCTATTTACTGAGACCGAGGGAAACAGTGTGTTTTGTGGACCCGAGACCGCCGTTCAAACGAGTTTTAGGTAGTTACGTTTCTTCCCAAATGTAACGGATTTAAAAGTATAGTAATTGAAGGAAAACGAAAAGAATTTCCTATCTATTGCTAATCCAGGTCTTTCGGCTTCTCAATCGTTGCTGTCAGATCTTTTAATTGAAATTAACAGGCTTCTCTCTCTTTTCAGGAAATTCTGATGAATGATGCTATATATCTTTAGTAAAAGTTCCATTGCATGCATGTTAGAACTAGTACTGTACTTTGTAACAGAATGTATCTACTTATAAATGTACATTGTATAATAAATCATAGAAATTCCAAATTTGGTTTGAGATTATAATTATCTGCGATTGAATTCTAAACTCTGCATGCGCAAAGAATTAATGATAAATTATAAATAGGATTGAAATTTGCAAAAATACTTGCTACTTTTCCATAGAAGTCTACTAATCGAAGCAGGCTAACATGATATTTCAAAGGCACAATTTTCATTCAATTGACATGCCTTTCTGTCACTAAGTTTATTGACACCATTATGCTAACATAAACATACAATATATTAAATGTAGTTTAATTAAAATTTTCATTTAATGCAAAGGCTCGGCAAAGGGCTGAGTTGTCAAATATGTTGTGTAAAAATAATATAAACAGAATTTTATGCTTGTAGAATACAACACGGATTGATAAAGTCTCTGCAAATGTTTCACTCTTATTTGACTGTTTCGGTCGCGGGCCTTACCTTGCTGGCAATTAATGTAGCTTTGAAACCGGATCAGCATTGTAAAGAAACTTTTTTTCATCTGGTCGAAGAAGGTACTGTATACAATTAACGTCTGGTTAATGTTGTAAAATTTAGTTGTACATGTCGCATATGCACATGTCTAACTCATATAGCTTAGTTAGCTTATAGCATGTAGCATTGCCGAAGCAATCACATTTCTTCAAGGGAACATCATCTGCAAATCGCCGTCGAAAATCGTACCCTACATATAACATCGCCAGTTGAGTATCTATAATAACAGACTTGTTATGAATGCAAATGACGGAATGAATGTCGCCAGGCATGATGTCTCATGGACAACATGAAACAGCTAGGGCACTGAACATCAGAACATGGCACTGTTATATGTGAAACGACAATGCTCCGACAATACGATACCTTCCCTGCTGACAGAAGTCTCTCCCTGCTGACAGAGGTCTATACGATACCCGACGATTTTCATTTCAAAACTTCCAGAAAAATCGTAACACTTATACTAACGTCAGAGTACCATGGAGATGCCAATAAGAATACATTGAGTTCTGTCGGAATCAAAATCACATTATAAAGGATCTATGAAGGAAACTTTAATATACTTCTAAGATTTCACATTAAAACCACGACTTAAACTTGAACACCTGAAAGTTAAAACAACCTCACTTTCATCTTTCCTATAATGCTCTGTATATTGTATTGCTCACTTTGATTATATAGGTTCGTCTTTAACCAATGTTTTCGCCAGGCTCAGAGTCAAGTCCTGGGCTGATTGTGGACGTCGGTGCTTTAAAGAAAAACTGTGTATAGGATTTGGATTGAATGAACGCAGCAAAAACGAAAACTGCGTGTTGAGTGACATAATTGGACGTAATACAAGTTCAGTGATGCTGAATGATAATTCTGATTGGACATACTATCAACAACCTCATCTGGTGAGTCTAATATTCTTTAAGGTACTGATGTGCACTAGGTGGGATATGATACAAACTTCATTTTTGGAAAAACCAAAAATCAGTTATGAATTTTAAAAAAACTTAGTAGAGGTAATAAGCCGTCCAATGTTCCATTCCAGACGTTGAGGGCCACTGGTTTCATCAGTTTTACTCTGATTCGTTTACCCTCATTAATTAATGAAGTTGATAATAATAATGTGTCAGAAACGTCTTGGCCAGCGATTGTCTTACATTGTTTTTGACAGAGAGAAAATACACTACGCCTATATATTTGGTATGTTTCGATTACAATAGTCATATACGTAAAGTACGTCGCAGTGCCCATAAAGAGTCTCATTTTCGCAATGGCTGTTTTGATTTAACGTCTTTTTCATTGTTATTGGCGATGTAATTACTGTAGTTTCTTTCACAGCCAAGGTCTTGTGCAGATATTCTACATCAGTTTGGACATGTCGAAAACTTGCAAAATGGTGCATACTGGATCAGTGTGGATACAGTAGGACCAATGAAAGTATATTGCGACATGACAACAGAAGAAGGTAATAGACAGAATTTCTGTTTCTGTTAGGTTGTTCGCACTTGCTATACATATTGCTGAATTATAAACTTATAGACTTGTATAAGGACTGTGATTAATATGAGAAAAGTAGGGGTACAGTATAGGTATAATAAGCTGATGTTACCCTTGTTAGAAACAACGCTAACCTTCTTCATTCTTTTGTTCGTTACCTTAGTTTTGAAATTGGGACATAAAACCAATCCCTACTCTGGAATAGGGGCTAAGCCCCCCAGAAATAGGAGTGTCCCCTCCCCGACAAAAAGATCAAAGTAAAATAAAGATTCGTGATCGCTGCCTAAAAGATAAAGTGAACAAACTTGCCAACATTGTGATAAATAAAATATTCCTTAAGTCAATTTAAACTGTGACGCTTCAGCACCCGTAACACTTTTCACAGGCGGCTAAAGCAGCTCTAAAACTGATTAAGTCGTCTTGTTTAAAAAGCGTGAAATTTTTCCATCGCCAGGTGCTAGACCCCACTAAGTCATCCAAACTGACCAAAACCACTCATGAAGCCACTTTTTGCAGAATGTTTGTCGCACAAATTCTTCAATTCGCTGCCAGAAAGTGCAAGGAACGGCATTTTCGAGCCTCAATTTTTCTAATTTTTTCCAGGAGAGCCATCCTAGTTTTCAGCCCTCCTAAGTTTAAATATGTAATTAAATTATTACTTCATTAATCGATAGAATTTCTTGCACTATATATTGGTGGAGGGTACAGAATACTTTGTCTTTTCTCGCTTCCATCCTCCTTGTTGCCCAACACATGCACAAACTACATTGTATTTTATTGTCGCTCCTCAGGTGGCTGGACACTGGTAAACAACATTGTTCTTAAAATGCCAAAATCATTTGTTTTCATACTGGAAAATAACTGGCAAGCGATCAGTAACTATACCACAGGCCAAATTGCTCTCACCGCTAGTGCCCTTGGAGATCTGAAGAAAAAAATGCCATTTAATCAACTGAGATTTCATTGCTTCAAGAAGATACCAGGACGAACTTTTCATGTTGTTACTGTGAAAAATACCCTTGGTGATGACGTTGTGAAGTACTTTACTGCACAGACTGACAGCTTTCCGAAATCTTGTGGTTCATTTTATTCATTGCCTGATGATAATTCCATGTTAAGTAAAAGCTGCCGGCAATGGAAGGACGGAAATTGGTCTGCTGTACAGCCTGTACTACCGGATGAAAAGTTTCGTCTGGTGAGTCATGTTGCATATGTTCAGTCCAAGTACCACTGGATTTCCATGCCACCTCGTTGGGAATGTGATGATTATTATCCTAGGTATCTAGACATTGTTCTTCCTTCAGGCGACTATTGGAAACTCTTTGTTCGCTAGTGATCACCTGTCCTGGTTACCAGACTGTCAACGTACTCAAGAACACTTTTTATAAAATAACATGTATATAACAAGTGCTCTGATTGGTCGAAATCCGTGTTTGGATCAGGCCATCCAAACACGAAAGACTATCGTGTTGTTGTTATTTTATAAAACAATTACTTTATGGTTTCCGTTTTTAGATGGCCTGATCCAAACACTTGAGAATGTTGCTCGAGTTAAGAAAAGCGCGCAAAATCACTCGCCTTCGGCCAGGGCGCTGTAAAACGCTGTTTTACAGCGCCCTGCTTCGGCTCGTGATATCGCGCGCTTTTCTTAACTCTCGCAACATTCCCGCGTGTTTGGATCAGGTCATCCAAACACGGAAACCATAAAGTAATTGTATATTGCAAAAACTCCTGTGCATGACTTTTCCAACATCTCATCATTTAAGCAATTACTCGAACAATTCATCGAATTGATTCAATGCATCCTTTGACATAGACATAGACATGCCGTGCACATGGACACTGTCACAAGCAGGGCGCTTATATAGCTCTATATAAGCGCCCTGGTCACAAGCAATAGTCAAATAAGCAATAGTCAAATGTACATTCGAAGCGCCAAAATAGGAATAAGATATTTTATAGGGTGAAATATATTATAAATTATGTATACCCCTGGGAATTGCCAAAACAAAAAGGAGCTGTGGTCATACGCTACCTAAAAAATAATAAATAGCTGTATAGTCTTATGCATTCTCGTACCCAGAGCCCTTCTTACACGCGTTCGACCGAGCGCGATGAGTGGCTCTGGCCAAATCCATATCCGAACTGGCATCTGATTGGCTAGTTCTAAACCGGATATTGTTTTCTTACCATGTTTTTATAGTATCCGGTTATGGACTTGGCCAGAGCCCCTCGTCGCGCTCGGTCGAACGCGCGTAAGAAGGGCTCTGGGTACGAGAATAAGTCTTATGTTGATTGACGTTACTTTTAACTAGCCTAGTCCCGGTTTTGAACCGCGAAAGCGAAAAGCAGGAACCAGCCGCCCGGGTGTGTGGGTATACCTATTTATTAAATTTTAACGCTGTATTTGGTAGAGTAAAACTCGTGTGCATACAACTTATCCCTAGCTTCTGTCGGAAATCGTTTTGCCTTTTTCACTGTATTTGGTGACTAAATCTGATCTAAACGGGGACTATTGCTCACTGAGCAACGCACCTAAATTTCAAGCTCCAACCTTTACCTTTATGTGAAGATTAGGGTTTGGGGTCAAAAATTTGTATCACAATTGGGGTTAGGTTATGCATATGAGTTTCTGTACTTTTTATAATTGTAGCTGTGGGCTGTTTTTATTGAATATGCAATACGTACTGTATGATTAGAGGAGTGCTAAAAATCCATCACCATAAATTAAAATTATGGATAAATGGAGCACACTGTAGTTCATTATAGTGATACTATACGTACTCATCTACTATAGAGCGTTTGCACATGACGTCACAGCCGCCATGTTGGTGTTCCAATTCGAAAGAATTTTAATTAGACTCTATCACTCTATTGTCTGGAACACCAACATGGCCGCTATGGCTTTTGTTGAGTTGATCCCTGTGAAATGAGTGGTCTTACTGGCCTAGTACGCATCTGATTAATAGGATATACCAAACGCATCTGATTGGTTAATAGGCGTACCGGGCGGGGGCGGGGGGCGGTAGCCCCCCCCCCAGTTTGTTGGGCAGTCGGGCAAAATTTGATCAACAGTCGGGCAATTTTGGTTTGTAATAAAAATAAATGGGACAAATTCTGTCAATTTAGTCGGAAATTCAGTCGATTTTGTGGTCATTTTTGTGTTGTTTGGAAAATTTGTATGATGTTCCGAAACAGTTTTGGTGTGTCCGGAAAATGTTTTGGACCCCTAAAATGGTACACTGACCGAAATTTTTTTAGCGACGGGGGTGGGGGGGGGGGAGGTCGCCAAAATAATTTTTCCGGAAAAAATTTTTTCGGTACTAGTCGGGCAAAATCCGGAAAAGTCGGGCAAATTTCTTTCAGCCCCCCTATTTTTTTCCTTCCGGTACGCCCATGATAGTCCATTAATGGTAGCGGTAGTGGAAGTCAAATCTGAACCTCTATAATAAGTTATATAGAAAGAACGATTTATATTTGTGCACTAACAATGCACTTAGCGGGACAGCCGCTGGAAATCGTGTCACAGCGCGTGCTGTATTCAACGCTGGTCATATTAGTGGTGATATTCAGCAAATTTTCTCCCAATACAGCAGGCTCGTATTTCCAGTGAATTTGCGGTGAAAAATAAAAAGTTTTGCATTTACAGAGCTGATGGCAATTTTGTGTAAGATGTCCATTGACGATAAGAGCCCGCATGAGTGGGATAAATTTCGCTAAATTTGTGAAATCCATGATCTACAAAGTCAAAACAAATAGCATATTTGACAATAAAAACAAATATCTCGTTCCTGATAAAATAATTCTGGAATTTCTTGCAACAAATTGGCCCAGACACATTATTCTATTAGAAATTATTCAAGACTGCATACATACGTGAGCTCGATGTACTAACCTGCGAACAGGCTACATCTCTACCTGTTTTTCGCGCCAAAATTTGGAAACTTGAAAAATTTAGAAAAATTACACAGCACGTGAAATGACATAATGGCTTGTACATTTTGAATGTTTTGGACTGTTCAATAAATCATATGTTACCACGATCTGGTAGAAATAAGCCAGAAACTGAGAAATATATCTTAAAGTTACTCGATATGAAAATGGAAACTTCAAACGAACAAATTGATTTGGGTGAATTTGTGAACGACTTTTTATCCTGGCAAAAAGTAAGTGAAAATTTTGCCTTCCTGCATTATAAAGTATTTATGTAAATAATTGTTTCGATTTATAATAAAACTAGTTTGTTTTTTTCGTAGACCATTAAAAATTTAGCAAAAGAAAATTCATACGTTAAGCTACAATACGCAATTATTCAAAAGCAGCTTCAAAAAAGTCAAATAGCTGAAAAGACGGCAAACGAAAGTAAGGGAATTTTTTTTCATTCTGTTTGTAAATGCCATAATTATAAAACAATATTTTAATGTGTTTTAAACTTTTATTACTCACGTAGAATGTGTACAACTCAGGGAAATGGTAAACAAACTTCAAACAACTCTCGACATAAGAAATAATTTGCAAGGTATATTTCAAACTAAATTTTTATTATAACTCTTTTGTTTGAATATTCGGCTAAAACTCTATCTAAAGCGTTCTTTACTCTTTTCGAATAAGATGAAAATGTAAAGCTAAAGAAACAAATTGCAGAAGCAAAGGAAATCGCCACAAATCTCGAACAGGCAAGTAATCCGCCATTGTCATTAATTAAAGTGAATAAGTTACATTGGAAATATCTTGAATGTCTTGAAGGATTTTGAAGGATATAAAACACGAGAGCGCAGCTCGAGTGTTTCAGTATACAGGGCGCCCTGGTTTTATATCTTATAAAGCACGGACTAGCTGAAAAGATGTTTTAAATGGCTTAAAAAACGACCCATCTGATGAGTACATTGGCGAAGTAATTTTAAAAGTAAACGTTTCTAAGCCGAGAAAATCAAGGCTAAAGTTTATGTAAATGAACATGATTTTTTATCAGATACAAAACCACCAACACGGCAGTGATTTCGTTTGTAATTTCCTCATGGATTATTAATGAGTTTTTTAAAGGCTATATATACACGGCCGGTTCATAATTCATTAACAGAACGAGTAAGGCCATAGCCATAGGAAGTTATATAAAGGGCAATAAAAGGCACAAACTATAAATCTTGTAATCCGGGATCTAGGTTCCAGGCCCCAGACACTTTAAGTATTACAATTGGAGACTCTTTGCCGCGGAGTTTGGAACTGGAAAAATATAGCTAGTAAAATAAACCTCATTTAAAAACCTTATGATGTAGCTAACGCATTGCCACACCATTTACATGCGTTTTCGGATCCCAGTTCTTATGTAAGCATAGATAGTACTGTCTTACTATCAATGATAATATTATATTAACTGGGTGCAACTTAAAGACGTGTTCAAACACTCGTTAATAATGCATAATTAGTTATGTCTTATGCATGGCATAACATTCGAAGTACCAACATATAAAAAACATAAATATTGTTTTGGTAATTTACAGTATATCTCAAAAAACGAGACAAAATATCGATGTTTCATGTTAGTATTGAATAAAGATGATTTAAAGATATAGAGTAAGGATGGCATAAAGTTTACTTTTATGCAAAAATAGTGTCCGTTCCTGGTCACGTGGATATTGCTTTGTAACCATCTTAAGTTCTTAACCAATAGCAATGAAATTGATGTACTCAAATTACTCATCCATGATACAATGGTTCGTTTAAAATATTGGATGGTTTAGTGAAAAACATGCAATAGGCACGTGATGATGAACCGACCATATTTTTTGCACTGTCTTTATTGTATTTTATCGAATGTCGTAATTTGACTCAGTCGTAAACACCTTTATTCTATTGACCATCGCAGAGTCACAAATGTCAGATGAATGAAGCTATTAAGAATTTAGAAGCTAGTCAACAAGCCCATGCAGTTGAAGTAAGAAGACTACAGGAAAATAACCAGCTACAAAGTAAGATTGTATATAAACTAAAAAAGCAAGTGAAATATCTCCCAAATCAGAATACTGTATACAGGGACTTAGCCAGGACTAGCAATGTATCCGTCCACAAGTGCTCGATCAGGTGTGCCCTCGCCCCCCCCAAAAAAATGTTTCTCTTGGAATAATTTTGAAATCAGATCTTTAATCTATATCTTCTAAAAACGTAATTCTTAGCAGTCAAAAGAACACATGTAAACCTGCACTCAAAATTCAAGACTAAACAGCTTGGTTGACCTCACTAACATAATCGTCGAAGCAGCGGCGTAGCCAGCTCGGATAATTGAGGGGGGGGGGGGTTCATATTCATATATTCGTGTTCACAGACCTTAAAAACAATCGATTTCAAAAGAAATTAATAATGCAGAACACGAATATATGAATACGGACCCCCCCCCAAAAAAAAAATTATCGAGCTGGCTACGCCGCTGCGCCGAAGTTATTCTTAAAATCAGCCTAAAATACTAAATATTTCAAATACATAGGAAATTGTAGCTTGTTCGCTTCTGGATTTATGTGCTGGGATGTGCAGTGACTGTTGAATGCATATGCTGTATACTAATTACTACAGACAAAATGCTAGAGTTTTAACATATTTTTGCCGCCCGTCCACAATCACAAGTATCCGTACAAAAAACGGGTGGATGGGCCTCTGGCTAAGCCCATGACTGTATATATACTGTAATATAAATGTGATAAAACTTTGTGCTCAAACCAGTGGTTTAGTCTATTTCTTAATTTTGTTACTATGTCGGTACCAATCTTCTCGATCACGAATGTGGAAGCAATCTTCATTTTTTTTCAAATTTGTGATGCATATATCCATTACGACAAAATCTTTGGTTTATACGAAAATATTTAGTTTGGGACGAATACCTTAATGACAAAGTGAGTGTTTTTATTGTCGGAATGTAGATAAACGCGAAGTGGCATTGTTGGAAAAAGGAATTCAGGAAAAGAATGGTGAAATACGAAAATTATGTCAGAAATTATCAGATATGGAACGAGACAAACACACAGAAATTGTCAAGTTGAGGCTAGAGGTTAGTTCAAACACTGAATGTTAAATAATAGCACGATAAGAGGTAACCATTTATAATATTAGTTCGTAAATTACATCATCGTTACCACGTTATTTAAAAGACAACCATGCATCGTTCATTCAGTACCACTCTGTCATACTCGTTCAATATAAGCTGCTACATCCAGGGGGTACAAAGGTTCCCGCTACTACTTCGACTGGTACCCCCTTTCGTAAGTGGGTGTGTGCTAATCATCCTTATATACTAGTGCAACTCAATTGCAAAGGTCGCAGTACAACCTGATCGAGTCGAAGGCTTACTAAGGCCGCTCTACATGACAGCCACCTTATCATGGGCGGATCTCCTGGGGGGGGGGTTAAACACCCCCCTAGAATCTCTCTAATCCCTCTTATAAAGTGTTCAACCACATCAAAATTTCGCTTCACCCCTCCTATTTTGTGTGAAAGTCTTTAACCCTGACGGCTAACCCCTGCTGAAGTTCGCTCAGTGGTGCCGCTTGCACCCCACTAGAAATTTTTCCACCCCTCCTTTTAAAAAATGTAACTCCGCCCTTGCACCTTATTACTCATGTTTGATCGCGGAACACAGCTATGGTGGAAGGGTCAGTTGGGGCTTATCCCATGGGGCCCACCCTGTGAACATTCCCTGTGAGAAGAAAGCGGAGTACCAGAAGAAAACCTACGACTTTCGGCAGAGCGTCGACTAGTTTTACTGGCATGAGTCCGCAGCGAGAAAGCCGAGAGGCGAGAATCGAATCCGCGGGATGAAAACAGAAAAGTATGATCAACTAGTTCTGCGTGAAAATGGCTAAACAAGATAACACTATCCATACCCGGCCATACCCGTAAATCGGAACCGGGGTATATACCTTCTTTAATTATCTGATATAATTTTCCCAATTGTCCCTGGAAGCGCAATGGCATAAACGCATTATTTTTGTCTGTGTTTGTATCATGTGATTGTCTTTTTCTCATACATCAACCTGCAATATGTTTTCTTAAATGTGAACAATCATGTTACCCACAAAGATCTCGAGCGATGTCACTGTTCCGTTTGTAGTATGATGCCAAACTTCTGAAGGCTCAAAAGAGTAACTCAAAACAACAATCAGGTTCAATGGCAACTGTTAATAATGAAATTTTTCGCAAAGTAAGTATATACATCTAACTGGTCTTGACCGCAGTCACATCTCTTCAGTGTAACCATGTTTGTAATCCTTAAGTCTGCGCTCTGCACAACAGCTTGGACAAGTTGGACAACTTGCTTTCGCCTTCTCTTTTATACTGAAAATTACACGTACACATACCCATGATGAATATGGTGATATAAAGTATCTATAGAGTTAGACAGAGTTAGACTCAGACATTTAATTTTCATGTCTTATGTTATGTTAGTTTTTTTTTAATATTTCTGATATATTTCAATGGACTCAGTTTCAATTCAGTTTGAATTTTTTAAAATTAAAAAGTGTCGAGTATGACGTCAGTAGAGGAAATTTTGACTTATTATATAGCTTAGCATAATCGTCGCTCATTTATATCGCTCATCCACAAATACATGATCAATACATATCATTTAGGGTTCAAAACTAAAATGTTCCTTTTAGTCTTAAGCATTGGCAACCACTGTAATCATTTCGAGTTTGTGAGAACCACCACGTTCTTTATAACGTATAGTGTTTCATTAGTGTGTACGCTGCTTGTGACGTCATAGACAACCACATACAGTCGAACCTCTATTAAGCGGCCCTCCATCAAGCGGCCACCCTCTATTAAACGGCCACATATCGAAGTCCCGAAATTTTTGTAATACAAATACTATAAACTATCCCTCTATTAAACGGCCACCTCTATTAAGCGGCCGCGGCCACCCAAAGAGCGGTCCCAAATGATGTTTTATGTCAATTTTTACCTCTATTAAGCGGCCAGCCTGCAGGATTTACTTTGGCGCAACACCTTGTCACGAGAGCCGCAAATAAAAGTCGAGCTAATTTGTTTTATTTGTAAAATAAGGCTTAAAAATTAAGTTTTAACACATGCCACTTTACCCCTCAAAAGCTTTACACCTCAAAAGCATTGACTACGCTCAGGGTCCATTATTTGCGTACCTCTATTTAGCGGCCACCTCTATTAAGCGGCCACAAAGCCGATCCCCGAGGGTGGCCGCTTAATAGAGGTTTGAGTGTATATTAAACTAGAAAATTTTAAAACAAAGACAGAAATCCGGAAACAGAAACTTTCTCACATTATTCAGATCTTTTGAGTCGCATTACTGACCCTTGAAATATAAAAATGACTATCGTAAAAATACTACTATATGCATCAGCAGGCCAGCAAGTAAAAATATTTTTCTTATAATTAAAAATTACCAATTCATGATCACAATGGTTCTCTCGCTTTTCCTCTATAGAAATTACAATATGCTAAAGTACAAGCAGAGAAAGAAGTGGGCGTTTTAAAGAACAAAATAATGGAATTGGAGAGAAAATTAATGCAACAAAGCAGAACAAATCAGCAGGATTTTCAACATGTACCTCAAAAACGAAGACGATTATCAACAATTGGAAAAGAACGATGAATAATTATAAGTTGACTGAATAAGGCCAGTTGAGAGAAGTGTGAACTTTTTTATTCATCGAGATTAAAACTAAACTGTTTTACTGTTGTTACAACAGTCTAAATTCTAAATTTTACTGAATAATTAACCTGCCTCCTACCGTCTAAATTCTACTGAATAACGTTATATATTTATAGTCAAATTGACAATTGTATGATATTGTTGTGTCAGAATAAATTACAATACAATTTATGCACAGTATTATACATTTATACTATTTTTTATCTCATACAAGGTATTGACTAAGAAGTGCCAATCAACCTTCATTACATGGCCAATGATTTGCAAACACACATGTCCTTTCCCAAATGACATCTCGGTTCATCGATCATATTAGCGTCTATATGCACTTAAATTCACAGAAATATTTTATATTCTGTAAATTCAATTAGCCCGTGTTTGGATACTTATTGCTATTGATCATTATAAACATATTTATTTAGCCAATGTTCAAGCATATACTAATTATTTTCCAATTTTATTCATGTCTGACAATTCATTGTCAGTGACAGCTCACCCATTGTGACAATTCATTGTGACAGTTCACTCATACTATTTTCTACTTGTGGAGTTTACGAGTTTTCATGGCATAGTTTTAAGGGATTTGACACTGACTCCACATCTGAGCAAGTCTGCCACAACACTGAATTATAACTAACTGTTTATAAATTGTTCTAAAATTTTTCTTCTTTCTGCTGGGGCAGTATCAAAATAAACTTTTTGTTCCTCTGAATATTTCATAATGGCAGGAACAATATCTCTGTAACTCCAATCTTGCCAATGATAATTGAATTTCTCAAGAAGTTCGATAATTTTCTCATCCTCACACACAACATCTACAGGAAGTTGTTGTTTTAACCCTGGAGCTTGAACATTCTTAAAAACAACCACACCTCGAAAACCAAACCATCCACCATATTTTTTATGGATACTCACTCCATATATTTTTGTATTTGCCTCCCACGGATCATTCTTAACATTTTTCCGTCTATAATAAAATGCCGCCCCGGACACATGACCTGCAGTCTGGACCAGTATTTTAGGCCTACGACTCGGGAGAAGTTCATAGTCAAAAATAATTTCCATTTCTTCATTTGGGATTTCTGTTTTAAGTTTATTAAGATAGCCTGAAATGAACTCATCCAAAGGATCCATTGAGCCAGAGTAGTTGCCAGTTTTTAAGAAAGGTTTAAATCCTTTGTCAAACATTTCGGGTGTACTGATAATGCATATTGCTAGAGTATCATAAGGATAAGGAAGTTTGAAAGGCTCATCCACATGGTCATTATACCATCCTATCTACAAAATTGAAATAATTAAAATATTACCAATCATACAATCACAGTTATACAACTGTCTGTTTTAATCTTTTTAAAAGTCCTTAGAATAGTGTAATTTAGACATTAATAGGGCTATTGATCCCTTGCATGATGACATCATTTAACTACAACTACCATAATTATAGCACATATGAAGTAATAACGTGGGAAAGCAGATACAATATGGTGTTTTTAAGTATAGAAACATGGGTAAGTTTGAGTTTCAACCTCACAAATGTTTTGGAGTAAATGGTAAATACGTCACATTGGTCACAAGCAGGATTTTAGCCAGGGTCCTGAAAGAGGGTGTCCAATTTTGGTATAACGATATATCTACAGTAAAGAGTGGGGAGGGGTTCGAGAATACGTTCCTCTGGAAAACCTTTGAAGTTAACGTTACTTCATGTCAGTATCTGTTCCAAGCTTGTTCGAAATTTTTCAAACACACTTGGCTGTGTGAGTTTGTGCCACTATGCTTCTTTACTCAACTACGAAATTTTCATTCATCCAGGTACACCATCAAATTGATAAAAATGTCAAATGTATACCGTAATAATAATGAGAATTGAAGCTAATTCGTTTCGGATATATTAATATACTTAGGGAAATCATTGAAAATAATTTCCCTTTTCCCCAAAGGCGTCCATTTTCCATTATAGGGGCGTCCCAGGACGTGTGGACGCCCTTCTGGCTAAAAGCCTGGTCACAAGGAATTTTTATGCTTGCTCTCTCTATTTAACCAAATATAAATTAATCAAAATCTTCTAAAACCAAATATACAGAAACTAGAAGGAAGACGTAAATATCAGGAATGAATAACATTTGGTACATCAGCAAACTACATTTAGTTTTTGTCCTCCAAAAAGATAAAAAACTAAATTCAGTTGCTAATCCTAAATGTTATTCATTGCTGATGAAACTTGGCAGGATAATGAATACAGAAATGTTTCTTAAGTTTATAAATTGTTTCTTGTTGTTTCAGCGCATGTTTTTGTTTTAAAAATTCTTGTGTGGCTGTGTACGTGACCAGTAACATAAATGGGTCATTCCAGAAAACATCCATATCTCCCCCATGGCCATGGAGGAAATTGGAAGTTAACCCTCCTCCTTCGGACGCCCTAATATATTTACTTATTATCATAAACAAAATTTTCTCCCCTCCCTCTCTGGATGGCAGAAATTTCCTCCATGGAGGGAGTGTGGATCTTTTCTGGAATTAACAACCCAGTTGCTGTTTTAATATCAATATATATTCCAGAATAGGACGAGATGTAGAAAATTAAAATTCCCATATCTTGACTTAACTCATTGAGTCGCATTGCACCCTACTTTAGTGTGTTACTCTGTCTAACGCCAGACGATTTTACTCGTCAAGGGGAGAGCGCTGGCGCTTAATAATCACCGCCTAATATATGTGTCATACAGTGATTATGAAGACTAATTTCTTGTAAATAAATACAAATATTATCTAGTTTTTCAGTATATATAACTCCTCCTAGTGTAGTATAATACTGCTTTAGGAGTATTTCATTAAAGCATTAAAGCATTAAATGGGTTAACCGGCCTATCTGGGGGGCGCATTTTTGAGAGTGCTCGATTTTTTTTTGGACCTCACCGACTCTGCACGATTATTTTTTTATCGAATCTTGCCGCGTGCACGATATTTTTTTAAAATTTTTACTATAGCTTTAATACAATAATACCTGCATTCAGTATTTTTATAAAACCATCATTCACGTATGGTTATATTCCGGCTGAAGAATGTATTTGAATATACAGCATATAACCAGAAAATAGGAAAGTATAGCAGAAGTGTAACCCACAAAAATTTTAACTCGCTCACGCCAATCCATGTCACGCCATCCTGGCTAGTACAGCCGGAAGTTTTTATCAGGTTTTCAGGGCTTTCAGAATTATTCAGAGTAGGTGTCTGTTTTGATAAAGTAGGCGGCTGTAGGGCGGGGACGGTCTAGTTAGTCTTAAAATCATCCAAATTAATTATGTACATTGATTAGATAGCAACACAACACAAATTATGATGTATCACTACTTTCATTTTTTAACAACTTACAAGATTTATTATAAGATGACAAATAACTACTAAATCAGTTTTATGAAATAGTACGTCGTTTTCGATAATAACCAGGCTATAAATTAGTATAGACCAAGTTGAGGAAAAAGAACTTTGTCAGTTCAAAGCTTAAAGTGCAGGAAGGAGAGCAGAATTGATACTTCAAGTATACTAAACAAAGTAACCGGCGGTAAACCTCGTGGCACCCGCCGGAGCTCCGGCGGCCGCCGGGTTATTTTGAAAGCCCTGGGTTTTGGTAGGTACAAAGTGTCGGTTGTACTAGCCAGGATGGCGTGATTGATGACGAATCGCTTGTAAAAATGCGGACAAATGCTTGCTTGAGTGAGACTTCTGGTATACCTTCCTATTCTATGATATAACTATCACAGCCTATTTTATACTTGGCCAATTTTATACTTGGCCCATTTTATATACGGGGCTATATGGTTTACGTTTCGTAGACCTTTGTTTATGTGAAATGCTTGATTTTACTGTCGTGAAATGTGTCTACGAAACGTAGACCATAGCCCCGATCAAAATTGGGTTTGTGTGAAATGCTTGATTTTACTGTCGTGAAATGTGTCTACGAAACGTAGACCATAGCCCCGATCAAAATTGGATCAAGTGTAAGTGTGTAACCCATTTTGCATTGGCGTAATGGCATCTATATATACAAATTCTCACGGTTCCCAATCATATCAGTGTTCCCAATACGTATTATGATAAACTGTGATTTTTATTCAGAATCAGAGAGCGATATCATTAATGAGGGTGGGAAAGGGTATTTTCGTGAGCCGTGAATGGTCAATATTTGTTTGTGTGAAATGTTTGATTTTACAGTCGTGAAATGTGATTTGTTCTACAGCCGTGAGGCGTGATTGTCGATAAAAATGCTCCGTGAAATGGGAATTAAGGATGTCTGTTTCGTGAACTGTGATTTAGATTTTTTATTCCGTTCTATTTTATAATAGTCATAATGGACATAATACGCGATAATAATTTATATGATCGATCTCACTCGATTGCACAAGAGTAGAAACTTCGAAGGTCTTTCGGAGGTCGTCGGACGTACTCATCACTCAAACTTGTAAGTAGTTTTTAACTGCCAGGCAGAGAAGAGAACTTAAAGCGAAGTACTGTACCATGCATTTATAAACATAATCTTAATAGAATAGAATAGAATAGAATAGAATAGAATTTTATTTGCACTCGAGAAAAAAAAATAAAAAAAAAAATGACAAGATTATTACAATAAAGTGAGAACGGTGCTGGGGAATTAGAGTAACTAAAGTTTTCGTGCCAATTCCCCATAAGAACTATATACAACAATGAATTAAATATGGCAAATAATAATACAAAAAAAAAATAAATTTAGAAATGTATATAAAAATATAATAAACACATATATACACACATACTGTACATTAACATCACACACAATAGGTTTGATTTGATTTGATTATAGTAAGTAAACATTTTATATTAGGAATAGGTATCAAGGCAATTCTTTTTAATTCTTTTTATTAGAGATTTCCTAGATAGTAATTTGTCTTGATTATCAAGAGAACTCCAGATTTTTATTCCAGAAAATTTTAATGAGAATTTTCCTGAGTTACTAGAAACAGATGGCAAATGAAAGTTATGGGTTGAATATCGAGTATAATGTTGATGTATTTCTGATGAGTGTGTAAAATAATTAGAAAATGCTACTGGTAACCTATTATTAAAGTAATCGTACATAAAAGTACATTTTTGGGTGTAAACAATGTCTTTTACTTGAAGAATACCTAGTAATTTGTAGATAGGTGGAGCATGGGATCGAGGTTCGGAAAAAGTCATGATCCTGACAGCTTTGTTGTTTAAAATGTTTAACTGATTAAGACGAGACTAGTACGTATTTCCCCAGATAATTGCCCCATTATAAAGGTAAGGATATATTAGGGAGTAATAAACATTTTTTAGTGTGTCAAGATCAACATAGTGACGTAATTTTGAAATCATGCCAATATTCTTGGAAAGTTTCTTACATATAATGTTTATATGAAATTTCCAACTCAAGTTTCTGTCAAGAAGGACACCCAGATATTTAAAAAATTCTGACTGCTCTAGTGAAGAGCCATCTAACTTGATATTTGGAATATAGTGAAATTGTTTCCTAACGGATGAAAATATCATAAATTTCGATTTTTTTATATTTAGCGATAATTTATTTGCTTTAATCCAATTGGTAAGTTTTTCTAATTCAACATTAACTATTGTGGTTAAAGTTAGTATATTACTATTTTCCAAAAAAGCATTAGTGTCGTCTGCGAACAACCGCAATTTTAAAATATTGCTGCAATTCGAGATGTCATTAACATAAATAAGAAATAATAGTGGGCCTAAATTTGAACCCTGTGGAACTCCACAGTTTGTTTTAATAGTGTTTGAGAGTGTTCCATTAAGGTCTACAAATTGTGAGCGATCCGTTAGATAGGTTCTAAACCAATGTAACGCAACGCCACGAATACCATAGTGCTCCAACTTGGAAAGGAGAATCGTGTGGTTGATAGTATCAAATGCCTTTGAAAAATCAATAAATATTCCACAAGTATAAAGCCTCTTATCCATGGCATTAAGAATATTGTCAATAATTTCAATTAATGCCAACGTTGTTGAATGATTTTTCCGAAATCCAAATTGGTATTTGTATATAATGTCCTTTTTATTCAAATATGATAATAGTCGTTTGCACATTAATTTTTCTAACATTTTTGAGAATGGTGAAAGTAAAGAAATAGGTCTGTAATTTGATAACAAGTGAATCGATTCATTTTTATAAAGAGGGATTACTCGCGAGAGCTTGAGTTCTTCAGGAAATATACCAGAAGTAAATGAAAAATTATATAATTCACTCAGTTCTGTTGCAATAACTGGTTTTGCAAGTTTCAGTAAACTAATAGGAATTCCATAAGGACCCAAAGCCTTTGAGGCATCGAGCTCATTTATCATAGAAGCCACTTCATTAGGAGTTGTAGGTGTAAGAAAGAAACTTTTGTTAGATTTCAAAGGAGTAAGATAATCACGAAAGTCTTTATTGGAAGGAGATATTTTTTCTGCAAGTTGAGGACCAATATCTCTGAAGAAGATGTTGAATTGATTGGCAATATCCTGCGGTTGATCAAATTCAACGCCATTATTATTTATCTTGTCTGGAGTAATAGAACCTTTAGACCTTATTTTAACTATTTGGTTAATAATTTTCCATGTTTCTTTTATATTACCTTGAATTTTTGTTATTTTATTTTTAAAATATAACTTTTTACTCAATTCTTTCAAATGAGTTAAAGTATTAGAGTATGATTTATAGTACCTTTTTTGATCTTCATTGCCTTTAATAAAATGATGATAATAAAGATATTGTTTTCTTTTTATTGACTTTAATATCGCAGAAGTAATCCAAGGTTTCGTAGAAAGTTTAAATTCTTTCCTTGAGACATTTTGTATAGGTGCATGTTTATTTACTGTTGATGTAAATATGGAAAAGAAATTGGAAAATGAATTGTTAACATTTCTATTATGGTTAGTGTCACTGATAGATGTTTCTAGGTCTTGTAAAAAAATATCATTATTGAAGTTTTTGAAGTTTCTTTTCTTCATATTCCGTTTTGTTGCCGATTTTATTTTATGCAAGATTAGAAAAACAGGAAAATGATCGGAAATTTCAGTCAGGCAGATTCCGGATGTAATAGGTTTGTTTAAAACATTGGTATAAATATGGTCAATTAGAGTTTCGGTGTAGTTTGTGACTCTAGTAGGCTGTGTAATAACAGGAAAACAAGAGTTAGAGTATATCATATCAAGGTAATCAGAAGTAAGTTGGTGTGTTTCACATTTTATGAGATCAATATTTATATCCCCAATAATGATTAATTGCTTATTTTCATTCAAACTATGCTCCAATTTATCTGATAAAGCATCTTTAAATGCAGAAATATTAGAATGTGGGTGTCTATAAATTATGCCTATAATAATATTTTTCTCATTTTTAGGTGTATGAATTTCAACCCATAAATTCTCACAACCATCAACCAGTAACTTAATATCTTGTCTTAAGTGAAATTCTAAGCTATTGTGAATATACAGACCCACACCTCCTGCTTGTGTGGGAGAATCATGTCTTAAAAAACTGTAATTAATCAAATCAATATTGGAAGATGAGTTTTCATTTAGTCTGGTTTCACTTATTCCAATTATAGAGATTTGGTTTTCCAATGAAATCAGAATATCATTAAGTTTACTAAATTGCTTTTGGAGGCTTCTTACATTACAATGAAAAATTGAAAATAAATCATGATTATTATTATATGTTGGTGAATATGAATGTAAGTTAGGGGGAGTATTAAATAAGTTTTTACATTCTTCTATACTATAGTAATTTGACGAAAATGAAGGAATAATATTATCAGGGTCTTGATAATCAGAATTAATAGATTTGTTTAGATAGCTATTAGCAATATTCGGATTAGGATACATTATTAAGTTGTATGCAAAAATAATAGGATTAGTGTAAGATTATACAGATTAAACTTATCTTGCTGTGAAGAATTGGTCTTTGAATCGTACAAATTCAGACAAAGTAGAGAACGAAACTACTTTTGAATGAACATCATTATCCTGTTTCATATACGTTTTCCCATTCTTTGTCCATACAAACTGAAACTTTTGTTCCTTCTGGAATTCCTTTGTTTTTCTGAATATTTCTTTAGCCTTTGTTGTTAGACTTTCATTTATGTAAAGTTTATTGTTCTGTTGGGAAAATCCAAGGTCAGTGGCATTAAATCTGGTTAAATTTCTTCGTGCCTTGTGTAAACCATCCCGCACACTTCTTCTTGTAAATTTAGCAATTATAATAGGTGTTCGGTCTCCTCTTGTAGGTAATCTATGGCTGATCGAGATATCTTCGTTTTTTATTTTGGTACCAACCAGTTCGCCAACCTTTTGAACTAATTTGTCAGTGTCTTCGCCAGATTGAATAGGAATTCCATGCAATTCCAAACAATCTCTACGCGAATAGAGATTTTGAGCTTCTTGATCTTCCTCTAATTGTATTATTCTATTGGACATCTCGGTTGCATTTGCCTTTAATTGTGAATTTTCTTGTTTCAGGAATTCGTTTTGGCATTGTAGGTCTTCGATCGTTTTCGACAGTTGTTCAAACTTAGCATTAATAAATTCTTGGCTGGTTTTTATTTCTTTGAGTTCATCTTGAGTTATTTTGTGGTATTTGACTACTAGGTCCTTGAGTTCAGAACCTTGTAATTTGAAGCGATCATCTAAAATTCGTTTAAACGAACTTTCTGATAATGGACAATCTTTTCCATTTTCTTGTTCATCTTGTGATGATATTTCAACATTTGATGAATCTATATGTTGACTGGATTGGTTATTTTGGTTACGTTTCGATTTTGGTGGCATTTTAAGGTGATTAAGTGCGATTTTATATAAATTTAGTCGCAGCCATCAAAATCATGACCATCCGCCATATTTAAAGCTATTATTATTATATTATTTTTATTAGAGTCTCGTTATCAATTTTAAATTTCAATTTAATTTCAAGTTCTCCTCTGACATCCACAGCTACAACACTCGAAACAAACAGAACATACATTTGGAACGCGTGAAGAAGAACTGGTAGCCTGCATAGCAGGCGGTATTTGCAGTGGCGTGCTGGGTACTGTTTTTCTGGGGGGGCCAGTCGGCTGGCAACTAATATGCGGCCCTATAATATTACCCTTGATAAACGAGGGCCGAAGGCACGAGCCGAGCGCCGCAGGTGCGAGGTTTGTCTAGGGGGGTCTGGGGGTATGCCCCCCCGGAAAAATTTTTGAATTTAAAGTCTCTGAAATGCCATTTCCTGGACTTTGGGGGACGATTTGACAGGAATCTGATGGTCAGGAAACGGCATTACAACGTGTCGAAATTTGAAAATTGGTTAGAATTTAGTAGTAGCACTTAAATTGGGCAATGCTAACTACTTCCAGCAATTAATCTAATCCCAATTCTATTCTCCACTGATCTGAATTCATTTACAACTTACAGCTCTTTTATACAATAACACACAGACCCCACGCATATGCATGATTCCCGTGATCGCTTCGAAGCCTGATCAATATTCCGGTAATGAGACATTGCAAGTGATCACTGATCATGTTTCTATATGAACGAGTGATTTCATGTGAGTCGTGAGGTAGCAAATACGGTTAGACAAAATAGTCTGCAATTTAATATACTCACTCACTTTGTCGCCTATGGGCTTAGTCTGTTTATAAGTCTATAAACACATCTTTCCTTGGCGGAATTAGTAACTATATTTCTTCGAATGCGTTTCTTTCTACCTACTTTCAAAATTCGGCGCGGGATCGGCGCCCCCTTTTCATTTTTGCGCCCCCCAAAAATTGCCAACTGGGGGGGCCGTGGCCCCCCGGTCCCCCCTGCCAGCACGCCACTGGGTATTCGCGGGCTAAAGAACTGTGGGAAGCAGGCATTCAGCTACCATGCTGCCAACGACTGGAATAGTCTGCCAGTGGAAATCCGAAATATACAGCAAATTAAAACTTTTAAAACTAAACTAAAGAAACATTTAGCTACATAGCCATAGGACTCACTACCGAACCGATTGGATGCGCAAGAACTTTATACAATATAACTTTTCATATATTCACTTTTGTTAGTTTTATATTCTTATTCTTTTATTTTTTTTTATCAGGGCTCCACTGAAAATCACTTTCGTGAGTGGACCCCCTGACTAAATATTGTAATTATTATTATTATCCATGAAATGTGAAATTGCTTTTTTATGGCACGTGAATTGTGAAACGTTTTTTTTTTTGTGAAACGTGAACGGCGGTGAACCATACCCCCCCTTTCCCACCCTCATTAATCGATGTCATATTTACAGAAGTGTGGGACTTTCAGTGTTAAGATTGGGTTTTTTAGGGATACCATTAAGGTAATTTGTGGATATAATTGAATTATTGAAGTCAAACTGGTTTGTATCGGTTTGTATTTTGCATGTATATACTTCCAATATTGTTAACCAAGGCGGAACTGAAACAATCAACAGAAAAAAAAACTCAGGGAAACTGAATTTTTCTTTCAATATAGAGTATTGCTAATTTAGAATTTTTTTGTGCTCGATATTTTTTTTGCTGGTGTTAGTGATGTTCGATTTTTTTTTCTTCCATTCGAGACATGCTCGATATTTTTTTTCGGATTTGCGCCCCTCCCCCATGAAAAATCAAATGGTCCGTCCCTTAGAAGTGTGCATCGGATCGGATTGCACGTTTATAATCCGACAATTGCCTAATGTTTAAAATCTGATCCCAAATTGTCTATAAATCCGAATCCGAGTTTTGACAAAGAATTCCAATCCGATCCGAAGAATTCTTTAATAATTAAAAATAAATTTCTCATTCAAGTTGAAATATTTAACCAAATAAATATAAAAGCAAGAAATACATGTCAAGAAGCTGACAAAGTGACATCCACTTGAAGTATCAAATGAATAATGCAGCGACAACCACGATAATGCTTTGATAAATGTATGGATAGTTAATTCTTGCAATAATGCGTGGATTATACAATTACCAAGTGTTTGGATCAGGCCATCCAAACATAGAAACCATAAAGTAATTGTTTTATAAAATAACCACTTTCCGTGTTAAAATTTCACTTTAAAAAACTTTCACTTTTAATTTCCGTGTTTGGATGCCCTGATCCAATTAATCCAAACACAGGCTTCGACCAATCAGAGCATGTGTTATATACATGTTATTTTATAAAATGAATTCATTTTATTTCAGATATCGAAGTCCGATCCGATTACGAAACAACTTTATCAATCCGATCCGAAATGAATATTGGGTCGTTCCAGAAAAGATCCATACTCGATCCATGGAGGAAATTTCTGCCGTCCGTAGGGGGAGGGGAGAAAAAATTGTTTCTGATAATAGTAAATGTATTAGGACATCCGAAGGGGGTAGGGGGGGTTAACTTCCTATTTCCTCCGTGGGGGTGGTATGGATGTTTTCTGGAATGACCCATTTTGGTTCCGAAATCCGAACGAATCCGATCGGATTCGCACACCTCTAGTACATTTAGCCATGTTGCCAGTATAGCCACATTCAAATATCACACCTTTCCACTGTGGGGTAGTCTATAGTTATACAGTACCTACATTTCATTTCATTTCATGAAAACACCACATTTGCCATTTGGGGGCAGGCAACATGATATATCGGAACACGTATTTAATTGCAATTCAAGCGTAGATTAAGTTACAGTGTTATCAATGCTGATAGGACAAAACAAAACTATTTATAATAGGACAAAACAAAGCTATTTTAAATACCTTTGTTTTGTCTTAATAGCTTAGCTGTCCACATTTTGCAACATACATATACTGTTTATATTGATCGAAAGTTCAATAAATATTAAGCTATGAAATCAAAGAATAAAATGTACCTACCTTAAATGTGTTGATCTCTAGGCCGACAGCAGACAAGAAGAGAGATGTTTGCTGAATGATTGATTCTATTCCTGCCATTTCGTGACGATTTCTCTTTTCTCTTTTAAATTAATATTGCACTCATGCACACTCATGCCCTCGCCTTTGTTTACTTTCGTTAATAGCCTAATAGGTTCTTTTATCCTAGCTGCGAGCGGTCTATTTATCCTCAAATGTACCATATGTTACATTCATGCCCCTAAGGGAGCATTCATTTTTTAGCTGGGGGGGGTGGGCCGGAGGAACTGATGTCTAATTCCACGCGAAAACTTGGAACCCCCAAGACAAAAGTTGATAAAAAATTATGACCCCCTATTTTTTTTACTGAAAATATTTTGACCCCTCATCCTAACTATTAATCCACACAGTGTCGTTTCCATAGCGTTTCAGGGCCGTAGGAAGCTCTTTTTGATTGGGGGGCTGAAAGCGACGGCCGAAGGCCCGAGGAAATTTTTAAATCTAGAGTCTCTGAAATGCCATTTCCTGGCCTTTGGGGGAAGATTTGACAGAATTCTGATGGTCAGAAAACAGCGTTTTAGTATGTCAAAATTGACAATTTGGTAGTACTAAATGAGCGAAGGCGTATTTAATTTACTATATATTGGATAACTAGGATAAGTTGCAGGAAACTGTGGGTACTATCTTCATTCTTTGCAGTTTTTCATGGATAATGTAGCCGCTTAAAATTAATAAAGCTTAAAATTGATCAAGTTCTGCATGATTTTGAAGTCATGCAGACCTTGAAATCATGCATGATTTTGAAATCATGCTACGGTCCTGCGTTTTCTTCATTGATGTTTTCACACAAAAACGAGGTCAATTGACGAACGTCATGGAAATGTTTTCCTATGGACTGTGTGAACAGAGCGTCAAATGAATTTTGCTTCATTGTTATAGATGACGAGATAGTTGATAGATTCTAGACCTTTTTACCATTCTTGATCCAAATATTTCCAAATTCAATAAAATCATATTGGTGATTTTTTCACTGATTATTTTTATGACCCCCTCCATTTATAACAAAACTATAAAAAGACCCACCCCTTTGAAGCATGTCAAAATTGGCTGACCCACCCCCAAATTCCTCCGGCCCACCCCCCCAGCTAAAAAATGAATGCTCCCTAACAGAACGAAACAAATGCATGGAGTTTTGCACGTTTCATGATTATAAATAGTTTCTGTGTAACGCAGGCGTGACGTAAAGTCATCTATAAAGCCCGCCCTTTCAAATAAGACCTTCACCATGTACGATATTTTTTGCCACTCTCTCTTTCGCAGCATTCATTTTTTTCAATAGCTTACATACTATTTAGATTCTTTAATAATAGTTAACGTTCAGTTCTCTAGCTTCATGCATTGCTTTTAATAATACATATTGCTACGAGGTATAACATTTGGTTCAGGGCCTCTTTTAAGGATGTGTAACTGGAGGGGACATATTTAGCGGGGGACCTGGAGAAGTTCCAGTCGGCAAGTCTGTATCACTGCAGCTACCAGCATATATATGCATGGTTTAACTAATAAATATACGTCATAGGGCAGCAGATCAGGACATAACTAGGATTCTGAGACAACTGAGTCGACAACCGAAAGTGCGAGCCTCTAGTGGGGTCTTCTTGAAGCTCAGATAAGCTATTTCTAGCATTGTGAGGAGTTTTCCTACAAGAAATTAACCTTACACTAGTCCCTGAAAATCAAACCAGCTGATCTTCTGGGACTGTTCAAATCGATCCCTGCAACCATGCTGTTTTGCAACATGATTGGTTAATCGAATATACCGAACGCGTCTGACTGGTTGATGGTCCCTCAATGGTAGCGGTAGTGGACGTCAAATCTGAACCTCTATATAAATGTTTGAAGTATAGGTCTAAAATGGACTTATTTGACAATTGCTGATCACAAATGATTTAGCCCAATGTGTTGGTAATTACTATAAGAAACAAAGCTACGAAACATATTGAGGGGTCCATATTAGTCGTATATTAATTAAGGATGCAAATAGCTGAATTTTAGGGAAAAATGTACGTTTGCGTGAATAGTTACAGGGCTTAAACTACAGCAAATTGTCTGAAATTTTGTACAGTGATTAAAAACCCAACAAATTTTCCATCTATGAACTCAAAATATGATTAAAGCTTTTAGATTTTGTGCAAGCCATTTTTATTTTGTTGGAAAAGACACCCCCTCCCCGGTTCACAAAATTTGAGTTCGAGAAATTTGTTTCATTATTCTACATTATAAGTATACCCAAAGAAGCTATATATATAAAAAACTGGATACTAATAGCTGTTTTGTGAAATTGAGAGCAAATTCAGATCTGTTCAGTTTTTTTTATACACCCTGTAATGCTCACTGGAATAGGCCTACCCTGTTACATCTCATACTACAAATCTCTTTAATACGAAACCTCACGGAAACCTCACCTCCCTAATATTACAATAACCTATGTTCCAACAAAATTTTCACACAAATTTTCTTTAGAAAACCTCTATAATACGGCATAATCAAATACGGTCACTCTGCTCTGTCCTTTTGGTGTCCGTATCAGAGATCGCAATACGACTGTATACCTTTCATTTTTTGTCCATGTTATCAAGTTTTCTTGAACCCCCAGCTAGCTAGGTGTGAGGCTGACAACATTCCCATTAATGTTGGTGATAGTCCAGGAACAATAAATAAATTATTCGTATTCATGACGTCATGTAATCACAGTCGGTGCATTCCTGCCAGTAAATTCTTGAATGTTGGAAATTTTCAATGCTATATCGACAAGCGGTTTCAACACGTTCTGTTAAATGAGTAATAATGATATAAGACAAGAGATGTATTTATGAACTTTTATTGACTTTTTACCAAATACATGACTAGTACTTATTGATCATCTAAAAAAGCAATATTCTGTCGTTCTGATATTGTAGCTGTCGACTGACCACCATGCATGCATCTGTTCAACGATAAAGTTTACTGAAGTCAGGGAGCCGGAGTAAGATCGTCAGGGCATTCAGAAGCACGTTTGAGACTAATGTACCCTGTTACTCCAGTTATATATTCAGCACAGTGCTCAATTATGAGTTGAGGTTTTAGCGCGAATAGACCAATCAAATGAATTCCCTCGAGGCGAGGCGGAAGTAGAGAGCCTGGCTTGCGAGGTTGAAATGAATTAAGGATGTGTGAAGGAATGGCGATTAATTTGTCCCAAGAGACATTAGGGTTAAGGCTTTGAGTTGAACTGGGGACAGGTTTTTAGGCATACATGAACTACTCGTCTGAGTATAGAATTTGGAAAAACAGGCAACGTGTTAAATCAAGCCTTACAAAATGTTTACTGTAGTAGTCTAGGACCTGTATATGAGTTTGTATGCGTTTCATTTAGCACAGGTAATCTCAACTGTTTTAGGGTAAAATGACCATGGCGGTCAACATGGCATATGTGCCAAAAGCTGAATCCGGGACGAAAGTC